TCATCTTGTTCTTTAAACGCCGTCTCGCGGTGTACGCTAACCTACACCACCAAAATTGTTAGAAAATTGTTTTCTCAGCATAATTTGGGGCTTAAAATTCGTTATTTTCCCTTCCTCCCCATCCAGCCCCATCCAAGAGGCAGAACCCAATATCACACTGAAATAACAGATATCGAGATGGAGCAATGCATTTGGGCGGTGGAGCTGAATACACGTTGCAAGCAGACAGTAAAACGAGTTCTCGAAAAGCCCGCTGCATAATGGTGTACGGCATTCTTGAAGTCATGCCAGGAACGTGCTGGCCCTTCTTCCCTTACAGAATCTACCTGGCACTCTATGCGACAAACAAGCAACCATCAAGCAGAATGAGTTAAACGATGGTTATGATCATTGGTTACGAGCAAAAATCAACCCAGCGCCGGTGATTGACGGTTTCGCTCTACTGCAGGCAGGTAAAGCCATTTCCTACTCGTTCAAAGGCATGTGCCGGACTGGTAACATAAGTAAGTACAATGAAGCATTGCTGAGCATTTTCTAGCCATCAACTCGGGAAGGCCCGAAAGGACCGGCCGAGCACGATACAAAACCGTATCGTGTGACATCCAACACCGGCTGAACCGCCGGCCGAGCTCACCAGCACCGTATCATGTGACATCCAACACCGGTTGAAGCGTCGGCCGAGCTCAACACCAGCTCCGTACGTGTGACATCCGACACCACGCATCAGCCTGACGGGCCCAGACGCGCCGGCGCAGTCCGGTGACCTTGCTGGCCGACTGATCAGGCGGACGGTGTGGTCGCCCGCGGCATTCCTCCCGCCAAGCCCGTCCGGCCTGCGACAGGCCGTGTCAACGGTGCGGACGACGCGGACATTTCGCGTGCGTGCGTCGTAGCAGGGAGCTGGCCTCAGCTTCACGCGATGGTGACCGCTACCTCGGTCATTTGCGACAAAGCTAGGTCACTTTCAACGCCGACGCGCACGTGATCAATCCGAGCCACAGATCCGTCCATGTAGTTGTAGCTGACTTGTGCGGGAATCATGGCCGCTGACCAGGCGCAGCAGATCACAGCAGAGCTTCTGCAGCCACTCGATGACCACATCTCGCGGACATATGGCGGCAGTCCCAGGCTCCGGAGCAGAGGCGTCATCATCGGTCTGGAAGAGATGGAACGCCGTGGACTTCAGTCTCAGGAGCAGTCAGTCTGCCCAGAGGAAGAGATTCAGGATGTTAGCTGGCCAGGAAATTATATCAGTCGGCACGTTTCCAGCTGAAATCCGGCTTGTGGAACCGTTGAGTCATTCACGAAGTGTTCGTTTTCCCAGACGTGCCAAGTGTCTCTGTTGTTTGGTATGTATCACGACCAGATGTTGCACGCAGTGCAAATAAGCTCTCCTGATGGTGCACTCGCAAAAGTCACCAACACCGCACCACAGGAACCGGAATTGTTTGGACACTCTATAAGTGCTGTACTCTTCTGGTGGACATGCAAGCATCCAAATTGTCACGGATTCATAAGCTGCCAATCCCAGTACTGAACAGCTTCCTTCATATGCCCATTGAGGATTATCGCATTCGGCGGCTTGAAATAGAAGAACGGGACTATACTCCTTCACAGCAACCAGGCGTAGCGACAAGGAGCGCGATGATCCCCGACGACTTTTCTTGAGCTCTGTGGAGCAACCCTCTCCTGGACGACAGAGCAGCTGCCCAGCAGATTCAGCATCATGAAGACGTGTGGAAGTTGACGACTATAAGAGAGGCATGCGCGGTAGCTCGAAGTGAGCCAGTTCTGCTTAGGATAAAATGCAAGATCGTGCACTTGTCTCGTCTGAAATGCCTTGGAGAGCAGGAAAGTTAGCACCAATGGCTGGCCCAGATCGTGGTCAAAGATTTCCTCAAGTCGAAAGGGAATCCTGTCTCCTGCCGCTCCCGAAAGAACACCTTGAAGTTTCAGCTGATGACGGCCCTGACACTTATGGGCGTCCAAATCGTTACTCCGACAGTTGCCACCAAGACGCCCTGGCTCGCTTACATGACTCGCATCAGGACATAGAGCGCCACAAAAAGCAACAAACAGAAAAAACGGGCACGTCAACCGTCTGGTAGCCAGACATCACCCGTTTTATCGCCATCATCGTTAATAGCTGCGACAGGTGTCAGGAGAGACTCTCAAGCCCCAACGCGAGCCGATGAAGACGGATCCGCCGCCTCCGCCCATTTTCCAGGACGTGTCAGCCGCTGCGATCCGATCCGCTCACCTGTGCGCTCGCGTTCGTGCTTGGTGTGTGTCGACCGACTGTCTGGCCGGCCAGCTCCGCACCTGATTTCACGCGGATAGTAACTACATCTCATTTAGTCATTCGAACGCTTTCGGGAACTTCCTGATTCTTCATGCATTTGTTCGTCTGAGAGCCGGCAGTGGACCTCAACACATCAGCCATGGGTTCCAGACATTCGTCAAGCGATGGGAGCCCGCCATCTGGTGTTCTCGGCCCATTATCCAGTCTCCAACGGCCATGTAGAACAGCGGTTAGGGCACTTAAGGCCTTTGTCGCCAAAACTACAGTGTCAGGAAACCTGGACACGGGAATCTATGATCGAACTTTCGGAGATTTTCGCCCCTCTCGAACTTTCGGAGATTTGGGGTTACTGTTCAGCGTGGTTACGCTGTGAGAGCTAACATACAATATGCACGAGATGCCTCTTAAATTGTATGTGATCTCTAAAAGATAGCGAGGGAAAGAAAAACGGGCCGGGGCGGGGCTCAGCGTCTCGAGGCCCGAACCGGCTTGGATTGGTGTCTGACTTGCCCGCGGCGAACGCTGGAGCTCAGCCCCTTTCCAGGCGTGATGCCTGCTGTGTGGAGGCTTGACCTTGTGGATGGTGGAGTGGTGGAGTGGACCTATGCGAGAGGTTGCTATGACTGCAGGTTCTCTGTGCACTGCGTTCAGCCAGTCGTGTTTGGAACGGTGCGCCTTTAGCCGCCTCCCAAAATTTATTCCGGTGGAAGTTGAAGCCGTTAATGAAGTCATCAAGCCAGGCATAGCGTCCGTGGGGTGGGAAACGTTAATTAGAGGCGGGAAACTTTCGCCGTTGGGAGTACTAACTTGCGAACTGCAATCGTCGACTACATCATGAATGGCTGGCAGTTTTCGGGCCAAAAACCTGAATTTAAGGAGCTTACGGTGACCATAAGAATCAAGAGGCACCGTGG